AAAGCCTGACGTTAAGCTGAAGGATCCAGACTCTAAGAAACCAAAAAAGCCATTGAAAACAAGACCCGTAAAGGACAGTTTACGACCTGAATTGCCCAGGGACAATAAACAACCTAGGCGGCCGCTTAAAATTAGGCCAATTGAGAATGAATCTGAACCTGAAACAGATGCAAATTTTTCGCCTTCTAATGAAAAGCCAAATAGAAATGGAATTGAGCCTGATCAAGTCTTCGCTTCAAAATCGCCTGTTGATAATGCTGTAAGCTTTTGTCTGTGTTACAAACAATTGCTTTTGCTACCTTTCTCTTCTAGAAATGTAAATCTGATGTGCTGTTTCTGAACTGTACAGTAACGTGTTTTTTTTCTGATGTAAGATGTTTTGCAGCTGGACGGTACTGATAATACTCCTCCGAGGAAGAAGCCGAAGAAGAAGAAAGTAAGTTTCTCACTTTTGCCTTCTTTATTATCATTATTTTTGATTATCACTCTCACGTTATATATTTCTCTTCTAGAAATGTAAATCTGTTGTGCTACCATAAATAAATTTGTTACCATAAATAAATTTGTTCTCTTATGAAAGTTTGATCTATGAAACTTAAGGATTATTTATCATATCACTCGACTGCATAGTGGTAATATTTGCTCAACATTTATATAGTGATATTATTGACTATCTATTTGGTCAAATTTTGTGGAAAATCAGTATGCAAATGGATATTTGTAGAAATTATCAAAACCGTGTTGGATTCCTCCACCGAGATCACCACCAGAACCATACGAAATGCCGCCTCAGGAAAGGAGACTAGCGGATATTCTGAAAGAGGAAAAAATTCCTCCTACAAAACGTTATGCTAAAAAACCAAAGCATTTGTTAGTATTTTTGGTAGCTGTATTAGTATTTAGCATGCAAAAGCATTGAAAGGAATAATCGTTTTATATATATAAGGGAGTGCAGTATTTATTGGTGATTATAATTGGTTTCATATTTGTAGGGATGTTTTTATTCCGTTTGAGATACCATGGGAACATTTGCCTTCTTTGCAAACTCAACAAGGTATGGGAGCTTTTGGTCATTATCGAGATGCAAACATGAAAGTAAATCAAGGTTCTAAACGACTTATTCAGGTAAATAAATCAAGGTTCCAAACGACTTATTCAGGTGAAATTTTATCTCACTAATTCTAGGATGCACCAGTATTTTGATGACATTTGAGAAAATCTTAGTTTTTTCGATATTTTTAAAATATTCTATCACTTTGGGTGTGTTTTTTGTCAAATCAAAATAATATTATCGTTCTTCTCGAAAATAAAAACAGAAATTTAAGTTTGTCTTCTCGTATTCACAGGTATTATCAAAAAAAAGAGATTGAACCGCAGAACCATAATATTAACAGAAAGTAATTACAATCAAAAGACTACAAGAAAAGCATTGCAAACCAAAAACGAAAAGTTAAAAATAATAATTTGGTACCATTTAAGGCAAAAGTAAAACTATTGAAAATAGATATTAAATAATTTTAAAAAGTTAAAAAATCGGATTTTGTTAGCTTTTTTTGTTTTATTTAATAACAGAAAAAGTTTATAAAGTTTTATTTAGTAAAGTTAAATAAAGTTAATGAAGTTTTATAAAGTTCATTAAATAAAGTTTTATTTAATAGATTATTATTTAATTTAATAATTTAATGAAAGAACACCGTGACCAGATCATAATTAAAATCACATTAATACTTTAATTCTAAGTGAAATTTGTTTCAATATTGTTATTATATATTTTTTAAAGAGTAATATCCGGAATATAGCTTAAATATCTAACGTAATGTTTTTGGGTCTTTTTGGGTTTTTTGTTTTTAAGTAAAGGCATAAACAAAATCACCGTTTCTGCCTTTACTTAAATTTACTCATTATCCTGAAATCCTAGAATCTTCTACATATTTTGAATTTATATTAAACTTGAAGGGTAATCTTCATTCTGAAACGGTGATTCCTCTTTTCTCACAAGCAGTTGGCAATGATCAGTCAGGTATGCTACCGTTTGGATCTTACAGAAGAAATATATCAGACGTTATTGATCATCACGACTTCGATGATTCTAAGGTACATAATATGCAAATTACCTTTTAAAGTACAATTCAAAATTTTATCATATTTCATATTTTTTGAATAAATTTTCATAATCTTGGAGACAAAAATTGCATTTTAAAAACACTGCTAACATATTTTTCTGCAAGTAGTTGATAATCTTCAGTTTCAGCTTACTGAAAGTAATAGTTTAATTCCAAAATTAATGCAAGGTGCCGTACAACCGCGGCAATCAGAAACCTTGTTTGGACAAATTCGCAACCAGGTTGTTTCCACTCCTTTTCAAAAGAAATTAAATCATCATTTGGTTTTTAATTATTCAAAATTTTTAATTAATCATAATTATTATTTGATCATTTCACATCTTTTACTGCGTTGAAGTTTTAAAACCTGGTTCTAAGATTTTGCCAGAGAAAACAATTAATTAGTGAACACGCTTGCATTAATAACGTCATTACACTCACGTTTTCATAAGCTGAACACGTGAGTGTAATGAAGTAATTAACTTTAGCGCGTAAAACTGTGATATAATTTATAATACTTTGCACGAAAATTATTGCCATAAGTTATAAATGATATGTAGTAAATAAATTATCTCCGAAAATATGCTTTCAATTTTAAAGCGATTAAATTTCAGACAACACAAATAAAATATAAGGATCATATGACTCCAAATTGTGATCCAGAATCTCACAGCTTTATTAGCCGCCAATTTGCGCCGACATCAACTGAAAAAGCTGGAAGTATCATTATAGATAGAAGACGCAATGTAATCGCAAATGCTCAGGTTGCTTTTTTTTTGAATTATTCATTTCATTCAAAAAATTTCATTCCCGTTTATATCTAATTTCTTTTCTTTAAAAAATTTATGCAGAATATGACAAGAAATTTTTTGATTAGCAAAATCCTTTTAGCTAAGCTAATTTTTTGTATTGATTGTTTGCTTGATGATTTGAAATCATAAATTATTGATTCTAGAGTGTTCAAACTATATTCCCATCACAGTGTTATCAAAAGTTTTTTTCGAAAGTAATTGATTAATATATATGTCGCATTATTCATACACATCTGTAGGTGAAAAATAATTGCTTACGAATATTTAATACAAATATATTAATTACTCAGATTTGAAATAAAAGTTTTAGACAATATAATTTAATTTACAATTATCATTTCGAGGTGTTTTTTTAAGGGCTATGGTGATGACGCAGGTGTGTTTAATCGTGCTTCTGAATCAATTATGCCACGTTTGTTTCAAACAAGCGATATTTGCACCAGAACTGGAGCTGATTTTGGAGCTTTTCGACCGTTGATAAGTGAATCAGAAGGTGCTTATCAAATGAGTCTCGATGATGAAATTAAGTGTAAACTTGTTGTACCATATCAGGTTTGTGCATATTTATTGATTAATATCTCAGAAAAATTTGTACGCTTCAGTAAGCACTCTTAGAAGAAATACTAAATCATTAATAAAAGGATAAAAATGTAATCCAAAGGCAAGCACATATTAAATATGCACGCATACAAGTTAATATTTTTAATATGCCTTATTTTTCCTGCTATTTTTGATAAATACATTTTAACTTTTCAATTTGTTGTGATTAATTTTTAAATTTTGACAAACGGATTTAAAACTAATCAACAATAATGCCATCACATCAGTTATGATGGAATCTGATTTGAAGTACATTTTCAGACAGCGCCATCACTTAACACATAATGGATGTGATATAAATCCGATCAAATTCTTACGAATGAAAACTTTTTATTCCATTTTTGCATTATTTATTCAAATATCTCAATAATAATTTACTTACTTATATGTGTCAGTAAATGGATATAAATCATACTTTTGGTGTATTTGATTTGTGATTTCTGATTGAGCAAAAACTAGCTCTGATATTTTGATATTTTTGTTTTTTGTTGTTTTTTTCGAAAAGTAATAAATATTTTGAAGTGTTTTTTGATCAACAAGTTTGAATTGCAAGCATTAGCAGAAGTTATCTTGCGATCAAATATTCACTTTTTAGATTTTCTCTAAATTTTTAGCAAAAAATCAACAAAACAAACTTTTTAAGCAACATTTTCTAGCAATCATAAGTATAAAAAGTAGCAAAAATTTTTTTGGATGAATTCAAATTATTAAGGATTGTAAACATTAGTAAAACGCAATTTCTGAAGTTTGGTTAATAGTGCAAAATATATTTATTCTATGATCAAAAACTGATCATAGATAGATCAGTTTTTGATCAGCTAAAAATTCGAAAAATAAACAACTTTTGAACTTGTGATTTCTGATTAATTTCAGTGAGTAATTTGTAAATGATAGAAAATACGTAGAAATCTGATGCTATGCACTTATTTTGATTTTCATCGAAATAATTATTAAAATTAGTTTTCAAGTTGTTATTCAAAAATTCATTAGTTTGTACTACTTAAAAACTACTTATGCATTAATGAATTTAATTAATTATATTTACTGCTGTATTATAATATTTCAATTTTTACGTCATTAATGATTGTTTATTGCATTTCTTTTCTGGAACTTAAGCAAAAGTACTTTTCAAGTATTTTTAGATACTTTGGGATTAACTATTTTATTTGTATTGATTTACTTTGTTAAGTTAAGGCATGTCAAAGTAGTAAATAAAGACTTAGAATAAACGCAAGCTTACATCACTTTTGCATTTTTGCATTTTTTTAATCCGCTGTTATCTTTTCAACTAATCTTAGCTTCACTTTTATTTCACTCAGTGTCCTTTTCAATTTTTTGAATTATGCAAATTTTTACGAATTTCAGTTGTATGCATTATTTTATCGCGCAAGTTGGCTTCGGATATTAATGAAATTTTGATGTTATCTTTTAATCAAATTTGCAATATTTTTTAATATTTTGTAGAAAAAAAAAATTTTTATCTAAAATGCGATCTAAAATAATTAGCAAATATAAGCACAATAATTCACTAAAATAAAAAACAGTGTTGCAATTATGCAAATTAATCGTGTTGAAACTATTTTTTCTAATACTTACAAAGAAGAGCAAATTACTGCTAATACTTTTTACCTAATTTTGTTATTATATATTATATTGCTAAAATATAATCAAAAAAAAAGTATATTGGGTGTAATTATGAAGTGAGTTCAAATTTTTCCTTCAGTTGGAAAGCAGAATTTGGTCTAGAAACTATGTAATTGCTTTCTGAGAGAAATATTTGATATTTTTGATTGCTGTAGTTTTAATATTAAGTTATAATGGTACTAATATTGCTTAATACATAAGGCCAAAAACAATAGTTGTAATAAATTTATAGATATTGTGATTGATTATTTGATCTGCAATATGCAAATGATCTGATCGATTGCCAAATCAGTTTGAATGCTTTGAATTGATATAAATTTGACAAAACAAAAAAAGAGCACTTTAGATTAACAAGTAAATAATTTATAGCAAAATTTTTAATTAAAATTCAGAAAAATAAGCTTAACGTGTTATTAAAAGTTATTAAAATCCAAAATATAGGCTTAATTTGTTACTAAAAATTGTTTAGCATTTTAAAATTTCAGTAATTTGTTGAAATGACAATTTTTGAATAAGCATTTTTACAGAAAATTTTTAAACTCTTTTAAAGATATTATTTATAAGTGAAACGAATAATAATGTGTTGACAGAAGAACTACAATTAATGATAACAGCACTGATAGCAATCTTAAAAATGGCAGTGATAATAAAAACAACAATAACAATAGTTATCATATAGAGATAATAAATTAAAAAGTATAAAGCATTTTTAATAAAACTATTTTAATAAAAGAATTATTAAAACAAGCAGTCATTTCTAATATTTTCAAACTTCTTCGAAGAATTCTTTGTTTTTTGTTTTTGATACTTTAATAAATTTAATGAATATATCCGTAGTACTACATATTATTATTTAATGCTCTATTAGTCTGAGTGACATAAATTATTGAAAGTTTTTTAAAGCAGTACAGAATACGAAAATTTTGCTTTATTATGTGTAAAACGTATAAGTTTTTTGCTTCAAAAGAAATAAGTACTTATCTATTAATAATTAGAAAATTTGCATATTATTTGAGCAAATACAATTTTATACTTAATTTCTACAGTGCACTAAGAGATTGATTAGTTTTGTAATTACTGATATTTGTGTGGTTTCTGACCAATTACAAAAATTTCAGTGTATGTAATATTTGATATATTTAACATTTAGTATTAAATTTTACAAAGTGTTTGTTTTGATGTTTTTGATTTCATCTTCAATTTTTTTGTAAATAACACTTTAAAATTTTATTTGTTTCATTTTTTTTTCACTAAGTAGAAATAAACATTACAAAAATCTATCCATTTAACTGTAATAAAAATCAAACTTGTTTGCATTTTTTGTAATTATCTGTCATTCATTTAAAGAAATATTATATGACAAGCAGTACTTATTTCTACGAAAAACTTTTAGTAATTCCTTTTGTTACTTTTTTTTTTCAAGAGTAGAATTACTAATACAAAAAATAAACCTGTATTTTTATAAGTAAAGTAATTTATAACTATTTTTGTTTGTTGTGCATATTGTCTGACAAATTTTAAAAATAAAATAGAAACAAAACTCGTAATAAAACATTAAGTATTGTGAATAAATATTAAAAATTCTGCAATTTTTCACTACTTTTTTGTCTTATTTTTGAAATGATATCATTTAAAAGTAGCAAACAAGTTATCACTTATTGCCAAAAATAATAAAATTTTTTTTGCTACTCTTTTAAAAAATTTTGAATGAGCAAATATTTGTTACAAAAATAATAAAAAATTTAAGCGTGCATGCAGACATAATTTTAAATTATTTTCAAATTTAGTACATTTTTAAAAATTTTTATTATCTTTAATAACTTCCTACAATCTATTATAATTTTTCAAATCTTTTACCAATTTTACACCTTTGTCTACCAATCTAAAAAACCAAGCAATGTTCAAAAAAACAAAACAAAAAAATGATTCAAAATTCACTATAACAAGTCTGAATATTACTTCATAAAAAATAATGCAATTTTTCGTTTGACCTTTTACCTTTCTTTTTGAAATTTAGTACATATTAGATTTTTGAAAAATTTTAATCATTTTTCATAAATTTTCACAATTAACTTTACTCTTAGATTTTCATATAACTAATGGAAATGCAATCAAAATTCTTCACGTAAATCTGTTCTTTAATTTACAAATAAATAGATAGGCTTTTTAATACATTTTATTTATTTTATCTACTAATTTTTGCCTTTAGTATTAAAATCTAATGTATCCTAAATTTACTTACTTTTACTGAACAAAACAAAACTTGTTTTCTGTGTGCGTATTCCTCAATTTGTACTATATCTTATCACTTATCGCAATTGTTATCACTAAAACAAACTTTGCCTCTTTCTCTGTTAATATCATGAATGGGATTGGAATTTTGCGTTGCGTACCCGTGAAAATTTATCCAAGAGGAAGTGATTCTCTGGATGTATTTTTTCTTCTTGTTTAAGGTCAACGACATTTTCATATGTTGGAGATAAATCTACAAGTTTGATATTCATCATGTTTTTATAGGTTATGTATTACTTCTGAAATCGAAAGATACAATATTTAATTTAAATGAAAACAAAAAAGATAGTCTTGTTGGAGTTTGATGACATTTCAAATTTTCTTGACTTGTCAAGGAACACATTCATAAAATTTAAGTGAATTAGAATGTATCGTGATTGTATTCATGATTGATATCCAATCAGATATCATTACTCATAACAGATGACCTTTATCGACCTTTATGTAAATATGAAATAATTACGAGATGTAATGAAGCAGAAATTTTTAACTAAAAAATGAAATTATCAGCAGTGAGTTTCCTAAATACTTACTTAAGAAAGTTTGTAGTCATTCAATATTTAGCGTGTTAGATTGCTATGGTGATAGACAAACTCGACTGAACATAGAAGATTAACTTAAATATTCAAATTTCTTTCAACAAATCTTCAAATTGAAAAGTATTAATATGCTCACTTTTGAGTTTTTATTAATTGTAATTAAACGGAGAACACAATATGTGTTATTTATTTTTCACTGGACTCAGTTTGCTTTTTTAAAAAAGTCTTCGTATAATTTGTTTAATTCGAAAGTTACTTTTTGTAATCTTTGCTTATTTATCTTCTATCCCATAAAAATATTTTTCTTGTAATTACTCACATATTTAAACAAGCAGGTATACTAATGTATTCATCTAGCATTCCAAATCGGAAGAAATTAAATTCATTTGTTCAGTAATAATGCAGTATAATATGTTAAATTGGTTAATTTCTCTTGCCAAATCACTATTTTGGTATCAAATTTTGTATACATAACGGAAGCCGCAATCATTTTTCATCATTTCGTTGACTAGATTTATACCATTTGATTCATTTATTTATGATAAGAATTGAATGAATACTGATATTGTCCGTATTATATTTTTCAAAAAGTTTATTTATGCAAAAAAGTTTGTCATAAGTTTTCATTTGCAAAATGTGTGTAACAAACGTTTACATACATAATGCTTATAATTTGCATACATAACGACATATACTATGAATTTATTCAAATTAATATCGTATCTGTGAATAGTTTTGTGTTTCAATATATAGAAAAATTTATTTTTGGTGTTGAAAATTGACAGAAGCGGATATAGAAGTTGTAATTTTATTTTTTTAAATACAAAAAGTTTGACTTTTAAAATTAATTTGGTTTTTTAAGTAGTAATTATTAACAGTTTCTCATTTCATAGCTTGAGTATTCTGAAATACAGGCAATTTGTTGTAGATTTTAGAGCTGTTGAGCTTTTTTTAAAATTGTTTGGTTTAGAAAATTACAAAAATGAATTAAAAACTAAGACTTTTCTACTTTTTAATTGTAACTTAGTAATTTCAACTAATAATCGCTTGCTCGATCATCAAAATGGACAACATTTTGAGCACTATTTGTTTAAAAGTCTTTTAAGCGAACTTGACAGAGTAGTAATACTTTTAGTTTGTATTCATTTATATATTTTTCTTATTTCTTAAACTTCTTTATCAGTGAATCACACTTTTGTCTAGTAATTGCTCATATGTAAGGTACAAGAAAGTATATGAGAAAACCTAACCTATATTTTTACATGTTTACAAAATAGTTCATTTTTGTACACATTCAAATTTTTATTGGTAGTTAGCGTTCGTTACATAAATGGTTATTAGTATAATTATGCATGCTTTCAAGGAAGGAAAGAAGAAGATTTCAACAGTAATCAAATAGTAATAGAAAGTGTGTTAAGAAGTTGATTAGAAGACGTATAATCAAGAAGTTAAAAAAGGACCCCTCTCAAGTGTGGGAATTCAAGGGGTCCTGAAAAATTGTCCAGGATTGATGGGTGGACATCGACGCGAGCAAAGTGATTCTCATGTACCTCTTAAGCAGTGTGCTGATTCTCAACAATCTATTCCGAGTAATAACCAAGAGCAGATTCAGATTCGCGTAGAAACTCCATTAAATCTTATTGAAACTGTGCCTAATGGAACATTGAATTCTTTATATTCAAGTGACATCCCGGTGTATCGCAGTGATTGTATTGTTCATCAGCAAGCAGTAAGTATTTTTATTTTGTTTAACTGTCGAGTAATCTGGTCAAATTCAATTCACTTTAGTTAAATGCTTTTAACGTTATCAGTCAGAGAAAGGAATTCCTTTTTATATCACCAAAGTAGAGTAATACTTATGTATTGTATGTTCTTACACTATTTCAATTGTTGATTTTCATTTACGCCTGTTGTTTTACATGTAATTGTAAGATCTTTTGAACATTTGTTCCTTCGTGGCATGTTTTGGTTATTTAACTCTGTTCACTCTACTCAGTCTTTAAAATGAAAAGATCAAAACACTTTTTTATTTTCAAACACTCTTTGAACGAATCATAAGATCACGTTTTCAGTTAGTATAAGTATATATGAAGTATTAAAAAGTACGCGCAGGATTAGATTTGAAGTAAAATCTTATACTAATTGAAATACGGAATCAGATCTGATAGCTTGTCATTGTTTGTTTTTTTTCTTTATACATATATATATTAATATTAAAGCAATCGTCTCGTTCACAATCCATTGAAAATTCTTGTTTTTTTGACAACATAGGTCGGTATTAAATTAACCTACTTTTTCTTGGTGTTACACTTTTATTCATTAACAATATTGTCTTAAATATCTATGAAAGCACTAAACATGTCGTAGAAGTTTTATTTTATGATTTGTTTTTTCATCACTTAATCTTCTAATTGCCATCAGTTTGTTTTTTTCTCTTCAAAAATTGTGGCTGTGTTGTTTTTCAAAATTAGATAGATTAAGACTTGATTTCTGTTTCGACGCTGTTAAGATATGCATTAGTTTGCAAGTCAAAAATTTAAAGGTTTATACAAGTCGATATGAACCCTAAAAGCTTGTAAATAAAATTCTAGCAATTATTATTAGTATGGTTTTAGTTATTTTTGCTAATTTCAAATTGCACTAATTGCTTGTAACGAATTACATCCAGAGTATAGTAATCAGTATTTCGGGAACTACATTATTAATGTACATAACTATCATTACATTAGTAGTGTTGTTTTGAAGTTTGATATCTACTCCATCAAATATTTATCTTAGGTAGCTAATTTTGCATTTCGTATATTTCACTAGATTTAAACAACAATCATAGTTTTATTTTCATGCTGTAAGCTGTGCAGTATTGCAAGTTCTAAATAAACGAAGAGGTGTAAACTTGTCGTAAAACACCAGAAATTCGACATGCACTTTAAATTTTTTTTAAGGAATAAAGAGGTAAGGAAACTTCCCAGAATTATATTACTTTTTTGTTGCACGACTTTTTTTTGAATGATTTGGCGAACTGTTTTTAGATAATAATTCACCATTTCCAGTGTTACTGTGATGTTTGTATTCGTGTAAAGTTGTTTACATATGAATGAAACTGATGTTGTGTAGATAGTTTGTGCGATATTTTTGTTAGTTTTCTTTTGAAACAGGTGTTCATGCATTATGTTTAAGCATATCCATCGTTGATTAGATATAGTTCAGATTTCAATTGTCATCCATAAATCTTTCGAATTGTTGTGTATACTGTATTTATCCTACTACTAAAATGATTCATTCCATTTTATTGTAACACTTCTATTGCTTTTCACATTAATGAAAGTAGTTTCGTCTAGGAAAGTGAGAATTTAAAGTTTTATAACTCGAGTTTAAGCAAAGACGTACCTTATCTTATTTAATTTCTTAGTCTTTTCCACTTTGCTTCATATTGTATGCTGTAGTCTTACGAATCTCGAAGCTGATCTGCAATTGTTTGAGTGTTGCACAGATTTTTGCTTTTACTTTTACAATTTATCTTGCAGTACAATGCATTCTGTCAGCATTTGCCGTGAAATTGTTATTTTATTGCAACAACACTGTAAGCGGTCCGCATCATTTGAATCCTTACTAAAACTTCACTCAGTGGTAATTATTCTTTTTTATGTTTTGCTTTCAGTGCTTTATTTCTATTTCTTAACTAATATGCTAGCAATTAATGTTTTCATTTCAATTTCCGCTATGCGCACTATTACTTCCATTTATGTCGTGGGTTATTTTTATTTTTCGGCTATATATTATATTCTTCAAGTTATTTGCTCTTGCTGTATCTAAATTATCCACTATCCACTGTATTCTGTTGGAGATGATAAAATATATTAATGCCGGAAACCATTGTTTAAAGAAATCACAAATTTAAAGGATGTACCTTATTATGTCAAAAAATCTATTCAAAGTATAACTTTGCTCATTGTTTTGTTAAAACTAATACCTTACTTATTATTTCTGATGTGTTAATGTGCGTTCTTAACAATTAACAATTAAATTGCTCTAAATTTAGTTACTTCATTTCGAAGGAACTGTCTTTTCAAAATAAGTTAGTTTTTAATATTTATATTGTAATACTAGTATTTATTGCTTGTTATTTAGAAATGGCAGAAGGAAGTAATAAAAACTTTCGCAGCATTTGTATGTTTATCAGTATCAGCATTTCTGAATTTCTTCTTGCTCACGGTGATCCACGATATAGTCCCAAGACAACCGCTTCCAGATCTCGTCTTCATGCTTATACCACAGCAGAAATGGGCCTGGGTTGTTGGTGACATATTCTCCACGCTAAAGTTATTTTTTTCCTATTTCATCTAAAAAATAATCATAGCTGAAGAAACTAAAGCAAATAAATGTGTTCTTAAGTCACAAATTCGAAAATAAAATGCTGTTTTTTAAAGTATTTTCGGATTCATTTAACTCCATTTGCAATAAAAATGTCTTAATATTATGATTTGATGGTAATTTATCGAAATCAAAATGTGTTTGATGAGCAGGAAAGTACTGACTGTAGTACCTTCGAATCCATGATCATGTAATTTTAGCCATTTTTGTCAAGTGTTATTTATATATAACTGGTGCTAGTCTGCACATTTGTAAACTTTTAACTTTGCATATTACGATATTAGTAATATTCACATGTGCATCTTTATAGCAGAATCATTTAATTCTCAAAGATGACTAATGATATTACTTGAATTAATTTATTGATATGACTTAGACATGACTGTTTTAATATCCAAGTTTATAGTGCTGTACTCGGCTTCACTTGTGTGTTCCTGCATAAGAACCGGTTGATTGTATTTCGTCGTGTTTTATTACTTGGTGGAATTCTCTATGGCTTACGAGCAGTAGTTCTTGGCGTGACCTTTTTACCGCCATCATTTCATAAACGCGATGAAATATGCTTACCACAGGTTAATCGAACTGGCATGTATGCGACGGAAGTAGCAACTAGGTATCATTAATATTTACTCCAATTTTTTAGTTGGTTTAGTGCAGTTAAAATGCTGAATGTAGTTGATAAAACACTGCAAATTATGGTTTGATGTACATATTTAAATTTTTTATTTTTGCAAAAAATCCAGTTCCTTAATCACGAAGATTGATCTTCTTTTTTGCTTTATTGATTCTGGCACTTTGGCTGTATCTATCCGGCTCTCAGTTTCCTGTGCTAATCTTCACTGTTTCATCCTCAAAGAATAAATGACGGTAATCGAAAGAGATGCTTTCGAGCTTCTTCTTGAGCCCTCATGTATATCTAATCGCGTCAAAGCATATGTGTAGTCGATATTGCTCGAAAGCATCTCATTTGATCGCGGGCGAGCATTCGAAGAGGGTGAAGCAAGGGAGACCAGTGAGCACCGAGTGAATACAACGAGAATGCCAGAATACGATAAAGACCTCGAATCAATAATGGTGAAGCCGTGCTTTTACGATGGTATAGTATTGTGGCTTTAAATTTGTTTGTGCTTTGCGACAGTTTCAGGTTTGTAACATATGTTGTAACTCTGGGTCTAACTTCGGGTCAGGATAAAATTCTTTGTGGTGATCTCATGTTTAGCGGTCACACTGTTGTGCTGACTATAATGTACTTCACACTGCTTCAGTACACACCAAGGAGATTAGTCTATCTACGGTAGTATTTTTCGATTTTTTTTTTTTGAAATACTGCTTATTTATTAAATTACGAGCGAACTTTGTGAATGAAGTGAAAAAATGAGAAGGAAATGAGATTTTTTAGATATATCGCAGCACCATTAACGTACATGGGAATAGCAGCACTGGTTGTTTCTGGTGGTCATTATACAATGGATGTTTTGATAGCTTATTGGCTGACTAGTCATATTTTTTATGCTTACCATCAAGTTTTTGAAATGCCTAGGTCTTGTTTGTCATTTTTTTTTAATTTCTTAATTTTCTACTCGGAAAGTTTTCTGTTTAATTTATGAAGGTATTTATCGAACTTTCTGTCTGAATTTTAATTTTTAGTTTGCCTAATTCTAATTAAAAAAAGAGCAGTCAGTTCAGCAATAAACAAATTCCTCAATTTCATTGTACTTAGTATTATGAGAGTTGAATTATGTTTTGTTTACAGTTATTATTCATTGTAAGTTAGAAATTATATTGCAGAGCAGAAAGAAGGAAAGCACCTCTTTCTCGATTATGGTGGTTCTGGTTATGCTACTGGTTCGAGAGTGATGTGCCTGAAGGACCCTTATGGAATGAATGGGATTGGCCTTTCCCTGGTCCAGTTTGTATACACAACTTTGTTCAGGATATAAGTGATAAACTACAGTAGCACTACTCAGTTGCTCTGAAGCGAATCATATCTTCAAAGTTTTTTTCTGTTTTATGGATTTTTCTTAGCGCTCTTTGCTATTTCATTAACTGTTTTCATACATTTCAATGATATGTTTATAGAGTAATACACACATGTGGAATAAAATAAGCAATTTAGCAAAAGCGTGACTTTGCAAAAAGCAGCTTTGTGCGATTTTGATGACTTTTTGATAGATTTTGCACCAGTTGCAGCAGTTTTATATCATTGAACCGCAAATGTTTTGCATAAAAATCACATATTCGTTTATTTTTGTTTTTTTCCCGCAAAATTTTTTGTTTAACAAATAGATGGGATAAAAAGTTTGACAAAAGTAGTTAACCTGCCAAGGGTGTGGACATATAAGTTTTCCTTGGTTGCAAGCACGGTTTTTTGCACTTGTTTATTTTTTAACTTTTCACATTATTTGTATATTGTCTTTATCTCTGCTCTCATAATGATATGTCTTTATTGTCTAAAACGTCTGTAGAAAGTAACGTCAATTCAGAGCTTCGAATGTACTTTCTGTTTCTGAAAATTAGAATTAGAGATTCGCATTACTTAGCAAAAGATGAATTATATCTTGATTTTGTTCCACCTGCATTAGATGATATTTTATAATTGTCATAAATTTACTGGCATATTAGTACTTTTTTCATATACATCTCTTGAAGCTATTTTTTATGTACTGATAGAAAAATAAATTTCATCCTTGCTCCTTGTTTGACTATAGTGGATTTTGTTTTTTGGTTTAGAAATGAGTTGTGCTAACTTTATGTAAAGTTGTTATTCAACCTTTGCTTATCCGTGTTTTACATTTTGCTAGAACTCAATGTATACAGTATAGTGCTTAAACTTATAATCATATGAATACTTTCTTCTCTTTGGTTGTATGCTTTTTATTGCATTCAATTCATTTTGTACCTATGGTGTATTATGTATATATGGATGGATGTTAGGTATACTTCAGCGATGCGCTCTTTTTATTCATCACATGAAATATTTTATATTATTTATAATTACAAAATATGTATTATTTTTATTGCAGTATTTTTAAAAATCTGGAAATGAATACGTAGATATGATGATGCAAAGCTGGATTGGTATTGTTATTGATTTACTCTGCGTTCATTTTGTAGAAAATGGTAAAATTATTTGCATAAGTTGTATGCATAATTAATACTGTCTTGTTTCTTAAACTACAGAATCTCTAGCAAGAATATGCAAGTTTACTGTCTTTTCGCTGCTTTGTGAGTAGTTTCTAGTATTATACATGTTATGCAAAGATTTCATTGTTTAATTTTTATTAAAGTAATTTGAGAATTCAAAAATTTCACTCTTATCATCAGTCTTTTATTCGAAAGAACTATAAATGTTTGAATACAATTTAATTTGCTGCAGAGATTAAAAAATATTTCTGAGATATATACTGTATAAGAGGTATGTTTGAAGTAGAAAGTGATATTGATACAGGTTTGTAGATCAAGTTTTGTAGGACAGGCGGGTTATTGGACTTCTAAAGGACAATACATGTGATGGTTATTACTTGGTCGATGCGGTATTTATGACGATTTGATTTTTTCTTGCAGCATGCATGTTATGATGACATGGCATTATCGCTAAGTGAAGGCAAGGTAGATATGGTTGAGAATCATTGGATGGGATTTTATTTTTCATCTTGTTGCCGTGTGAATTACGGCTCAGGTAGCATTTCTTGCTTCACATTTAAGAAGGCTGATGTCTCCGATTGTTTAGAAGTTGCAGTTTCATGAAGACTAAAGTCGTATTGGGGCAGGTTTTATTAGTAAAGTTAGGTTCACTTGAGAGATGGCAGGAGTCAGTTCTTGAAATTTTCTTAATTAAGTTTAATAATATTTTTGAAAACATTGAAGGTGAAATCTATTGCACATTGTAAGATTTTGCATTATTTTTTGCAGTGTGAGAGTACATTTCTGGATTGAATAAATTGGAATGTCTTCTGCTGGGTAAGATGCTTGGAGTTGGAGCATTAAACAATGTTGGAACTTTCGTAGAAATAGGCGTTGATGATGTTCGCCCTGCACAGCCTTCTAATGTTGATAAAGTTCGTGTAATTTTCTTCACTCTTAAGTATGACTTTACATATTGAGTCATAAGCATGAGTAGAATAATAATTAGATAAGAATACATTTATGGTTACTGCAAGTCTTTTATAATATTTAAATTTATCTACGATATTACTATGAAGTCAGCAGTATTTAGTTATTCATATATAGTGAAATTATATCGCTAATTCTATGAATTTGTTTGTGATTTTTGATATTCTTATTAAAATTGGAATATTTTTTCCTAGAAGCAATTTCGTTCACGCATTTATAGTTTTGTTTCTGTGAATAAGAAAGATTGCTTAATTTCTTTCTTTGTGTTTGCATTTCAGTAAATGTATTTTGCATTTAATTAGAAAAGATTTATTCATAGTAACTTGGTTTTCCCTCTAATTTGTAATTAATATTTTTTTATCATTTTGCAGGACGAACTTTTGATCACTTTTAAGCTGGTGACAGATCTATTTGATCAATATGCATTTATATGCAATGAAGTTATATCATTTCTTGCGCATGCCATTTTGCGAATCTTTGAAATCATTAACAATCTTGGCTCACCATTTGAGCTACTTGCATCTTTCTGCTGTTTTATGCTCAATTTAATAGCTTTTCTTTTGCATACTCTTTTTACTGAGATTTTTTTGTTAATTGGTTTACCTTTCATTCTTTTGATCACTTGGCTTACCTCTCATCCATTCATGCTGACATCTTTATTTTTGTTTTCCAGTTTTGCTTGTACCACTTTTGTAATAATAATTAAGAAAGTTCCTGCTCTTGAATATTTGAGTAATTTCATATTGTTTATTGGACTCCATTCTTTCTCCTTTGTTTTTGGTCTTTTGCATTCAGTTACCAGCAATATTCATTACTCGTTTCTTCTATCGTGGAATTACTTACGGCAGTTTTGTAAAAAGATGTGGCAGATATTTTCTAGAATAAGAAGGTCAAGGGGATATCGAAGACACTCACACTGTACAGTCAGTGAAGTAAATCGCATTATGTGTTGTGTTTGTTTTGTTCATGAGAAATCCATTTTATTGCAACCATGTAATCATATTTGCCTATGTTCCAGTTGTATCAATGAATTATTGAACACCTACGAGGAGCCATTATGTCCTTTATGTCGTTCAATGATTATCTCTTACCTTGATGTCTATATTTAAGATACTAAATGGACAGTTTTTAAAAAAAATGCAAGAAAAAATTTTATGATAAGAATTTCAGGCAGTTCAAATTTGGTAAGTAAAATATTTTTTAGTAATGTCTCAGGAATTCATCACTTCTTTTATCATTGTTTGCATTTTTTCAGTATGTTTTTGTGCTAACATTTTTGGCTTCACTGTTCGTACATGATGTGTTTGTCTCACTGTTTTTACGTAGTACACATTTTGTTTTTTGGCGATCAAATTTACTTGATTTCTTAATTCCTAAATTCCTTTTTTTAAATATTACTTTTTATAATTTACAGTTTGCAACAAATTTTGCCCATTTAAAATACGGAATCGTGAATTTTTGTATTACAAATATTATGCCGAGTAATTCTAGTCAGCAGATGTAAAAACTATACATTTGGTTGAGATTTGAAAAAATTATAGATTTCAGTGCTCTGAAATTTGTCAAAATGATGTGATTATTTTTCGTCTTTGTTGTCTTTGATCACAGTACTTTTTCAGCAAGTGTACAGCATTAAGCAGGATTCTTCTTTACTAGTAGCTGCCACTAATATTTTTTGTAACGTAAGATTCTTCGTTTTGGTAAATTCCAGACTTTGTTTCATTTTTATTCTATAATGCTCGTGTAAATAACTCAGGCATTGTCCTTCATTATTTGTTTTTCATGATTGGGTTTAAAAAATGTTTCGCCTACCGGTCGATGTGATGCATGTAATTGTATTGCTTAGTAAATGTTTTATAGAGAAATAACTTCACGCACCAGATGAATACAGTTTTAGTACATACAAGATGTAAAAATTCATATCATTCCATGACTAGGTTATGTTGACAAGTGGGATGTTAAAGTCGTGATACTGATACTCATCAGGATACATTGTTTATACTGTACTTTCCAATGGCTCTTGCAACAGCAGATTAAATCCAGTATTCGGTTTATTATAGAATTCAGCGTTATTAGAATTTTCTTTATTTATACGTATTCCATCAGCTTGTGGATTAGTGCTTTCAACCTGAATATGGGAACTTGAAAATTATTGCTGCAATAAAACTACTGTAAATTTAAAAATTACGATGAAAGGATATATTTTTAATGAAAATTAGTTCTTAAAAAGCTGACAATTGATGCATGCATGTAAAATAACTAACAAACTTCCAAACGAAGTTAAAAAAAGGCAACAATAAAGTATTACAATTGTATAAGTAAGCTTATTTCGAGATAACAGAAAAGCAAACGCAAGCGTATAAATTGTCACGTAGTTTATTACTTGTAAATTATAAACGCTTCCCCTTACCTCTTCATTATTCTCGTGAATTTTTTCTGTTGGCATATGTTGTTCTTTTATATCATTTTTATTTTTACTAGATTTTTTACGATTAATTATTTCAAGTAGTCGATGATAGTTACAAAGTTTCTTGATTTCGGAAGTAACAGAAGATCTGTAAAAATGATTCTCATCAGTAGTAGTACGTTACCGTAATACATATCATTTAATCTTTTAAATAAATAAATTTAAAAAATCATTCAGTATAAACGTTATCTAGTAAATAATGCAAATCTTTTATAGTATTTAATAACTGATCAGATATATCTGATGGAAAGTGATTATATGCTATTATCTTTGATTACAAGCATATTGTTGCAGCAAATTAAATAATTAATGTAAATGTAATAATTAATGTGATCAAGGAAAATACAAACTTGGCAGAATCATTCATATTGGCTTGAGATATTTCACTGATATCTTCAAGATTTTCTGATAACTGAGAGCGTAAGGTATAACTGCCTGTCATGCTTGTAACTGATTCCGTTGTATCCCAGCCTGAAATTATTTTTGCAAGTAAAATTCAAAAAATGGACCATTTACAAAGACAATAAACTAATTTATTCAATAATAAAGCTATCAACTTGTTTGCCAATTTTTTATAATTTAAAAAAAATGAAAATTGTATATTTAAACTGTATGTTATTTTTTTAACAGTAATCTTTGATCACAAATATATAAATTTAAATTTAAATATTTTAAGAAGCAATCACTAAATTGATAATGTTACCTTCATCTAATATCATCAAGTCATTATTACTAGTTCTGCTGGCATTTTTAGTTTGATTTACTGATAAAAGCGATTGGGCATTATTTTCTTGGCCATCAGAAGAACCAAATGTGGACAGAAACCTCTCACGCCAAATAATTGCTTGGTTTTCTGCGAATTTGAGCTTAACCTTTCCAAAATCCCACTTAATTACCACTTTGCATATTTTCTGCAAAAAAAGTGTTTTTGATGCAATTTCAATTGTTAAAAGAATTGTTAATTGTTGAAAAAATTTCTTCTTAATTTTTAGATTAAATTAAAATCTTTATTACTATTTGCTTGCAGTTTTATCACAATTTTTTCTCATTCGCTTACAAAAAATTTAAAAAAAAAGTATTTTCTAAGAATTTTTTTTATCGAAAATATTGCTACAATTCAACATGCAAAATGCAAGATTAGACTAGTACTGTAATCTAGTATGATATTTTAGTTCTGATAAGTCTAAACAAATTAAAACTTACACTATTTTTTGAAAAGTTACTGATGCAAGATTAGACTAACCTAGTACTGTAATCTAGTGCGGTAATCTAGTACTGAAATTTCAGTTCTGATAAGTCTAAACAAATTAAAACTTACACTATTTTTTGAAAAATTACTGCGAACAATTTTTAAATAATTTGCAGCACTTAAGTCAAGAATAAATCCTGTAAACATTGAAGTCACATATGCAAACATTTAAACTCATCATGTCTACACATTTAAATTATTATTTGAATTCAATTTTGAGTATATTCAGACATTTAAGTATATTCAGACATTTATTTATTGAAAACATAGCAAACAGCCATTTGCTAATCTAAGCGAATAAGCTATCGCTAATTAATTACTTAATTAAGTATAAATTGAAAAATTCAAATAAAACGTGGCATCTGGAATTTGATTTTAAAAAAAAGGATAATTTCAGCGTTTAAAGAATTCTCACTGGTGTCTTTCATCTTTAGATTTTTTTTAATTCGTAAAAAATTGATAAAATTTATTACAATCAAAA